TACAAATCTTAAAAAAGCTGGTTGAACCTGGGAAGTCTTTGAATTTGTCTTTGGATCCTTGGGGCTGGAAGGGCTGGATGGTTTTCTTTCATTTAGGCCACAAAGCCCAGTGTCCTTTGAGACCTGAAATCCCAAGGAGTTAACTAACCTCTTTTTGACAGAGTTGGGCCTTCTTGGGGATATCCTGTATCTAGCCCTTTGTATCAGATATAACAGGGCCTCCGTTTCCCCACTGCAGCTCTTCAAGGTGGTGCTTGCCAGGAGCAGATCATCCACCCATTGAATGAGTGAACATTTTACATCTGCACTCAGAGTGCATGCAGATCATTTTTAAGGATTTCTCTAAATCTTTCAGGGGAGTTTTTGAACACCTGGGGCAATCAGCTCTAAGTCAATTGCTCCGTCTGGCCAGTGACTGGGCCTTTCTATTCAAAAGCAAATATTGGCTGACTTATTATGGGTGCCATTTGAAAGCAAAAGAAGAAGACATCCTTCAGACCTAGACAGATGAACCATTGGACCTCTGCAGATATAAGGCCCAGTAATGTGTAGTTATGGACCACTGGTAGGATGGCTGTTGTGGCTTTGTTGATGGCTCACAAGCCCTGGGTAGGTCAGTAGTTTTTGTGCCTGTTTTCTTCACAGGTAACAGAAGATTGGTGATTTTGGAGCAGCCCAATCACTAATAGACTCTGAAGGTTAGCCTGAATGCCAATCTTGACCTCCTGAGGTAAAAAAAATACTATCATAATATTACCAGGTGGGTCCCAGGCAGTAATTCATCCAGACTAGGTGAATAGCTGATGGCTAGTCCAGGTGGGCTCCTTTCAGCCCACATCTTGGGAAAGCGAGAGCTCCACGTTTTCATAACCGAATCGTTCCTGCAGGCTTTGAATGGATTCTTCATTATTTCTCATGATGGACAGAATCATGGAGGTGTTTCTCCTGGCTCGCTTCAAGCCAAGGCAGTCAGTGCCATCAACAGAGGAGATGCAGACCCCTAATTTGGACAGCATGTTTCTTCCTAACAAGGATACCAGGCATTTGATTAGGTTAAAAAAAAAATCATGTTTCAGCCAGTGCCCTGCCCCTGTGCAAGTGTGAAATTCACAGAAGAAATGCTTGGTTTGGGCCCTGGTAGCTCCCATTACTATTTTTATTTAATTATAATTTTATTTTTATGTGTGTCAGTGTTCTGCATACATGTATATCTGTGCACCTCTTTGGTGCCTTATGCTTGCAGAGATCAGAAGAGGGCATCAGGTCCCCTAGAACAGCTTGTAGATGACTGTGAGCCACTATGTGGGTGCTGGGAAGAGCACTCCAGTGTTCTTTAGCACTGAGCCATCTCTCTAGCACCAGGAATTACCATGATCTTGCCCCTTTTCCATGGGACCTGTAGGCCTAGTAACAACGGAATATTCAGCACCAGTGGTCAACACAAAGTTAAATTAGGTAGCCCCTGACTTTCATTTTGACCATAGGCTTCAATGGAGGTCAGTCTGCTTCAATCTGAGTGACTTTGGCCAGCCCAGTGAAGTTTGCTGTGGGGAAGAGGGTGACACTCAATCTGGTTTGGAGAATGGTTCTTCTTTGGCCTCTAGTCCTTTGTTTTCACCCATAATGTAAGTTATTGGAGAATTAATTCTTTAAGTATTTCTTTCCTTGCAATAAACACACGAGTACTTCTGTAAGGGACTGTGGGGCTTTGACCTTGCTCTGCTTTGCCCTGGTCTGGGTTCAGATGTGCCTGTCACCAGGAGGGCTTCTTTGTTTCATCCTTTTGTCTGTTTTTTTTTTGTTTGTTCCCAGTTTATTAACACCTTATTGGCTACCTCCAGTAGTTGGATGCTATTCATATCAGCAAATCAGTAAGTTTTTGCAGTTTTCTTAGAATATTACCTTGTGCTAGGCCCAGTAAAGCAGTGTTCATCATTCATTTAATTTCAGAAGCCTCAGGGTCAAAGCAAATATGTAGACAGGTTGCCTCGCATCGTCTCTCATAGAAATAAGATCGGATCTCTTCTGGATTTTGAAGGATCTCAATGATTTTTTCCTCACTTTTTAATTTTATTTTTTAATAAAGAAAACAAGCCATCTTTTTTTCATTTGACATACTAATCTCAGTTCACACTCCCTTCCCTCCTCCCATCCATTCCACCTTTATCCCACCCCACCCCCCATCCATTCCTCAGAAAGGATAAGACACATGGCTCTGAGGAAGGACAAAGGCCCTTTCCACTATATCTAGGCTGAGCAAGGTATCCATCCAAAGAGAATGGGTTCCCAAAACTCCAGTAGAGATAAGTCCTGGTGCCACTTCCAGTGGCCCTGCAGTCTGCCCCAGCCATAAAAAAACTGTCACCCACATTCAGAGGGCCTAGCTTGATCCTATGCTGGTTCCTTCCCTGTCTGGCCAGAGTTGGTGAGCTCCCATTAGCTCAGGTAAGCTGTTTCAGTGAATGTCTCAATCATGGTCTTGACCTCTTTGCTCATATTCTCACTCCTCCCACTCTTCAACAATCTCAATGATTTTTGACAAGTTAATAGGCTTCTTTTTCAGTTCTTTTGGGTGAGTATATTTATATCTTTCCAAGATGGCTCTATAATAATTTGAATTTGTTTGTTATTGGGGGATCTTGTGCTGGAAAGGGGCCTCTGACCCATGACTCTGTCCTTAACTTTCCTAACAAAACGCAAGCCACCACCATTTCCAAGTCTCAGTTATTATTGTTTGCCACTCTTTAGTATTGAAAGAGTTAATGGGAACTGGTGGCAGCCACTCTGGATTGGGAAATCTATAGGTGGGGGAAAGATGAACTCTACTAGGTCAGTCATAGTGTAAAGTTCCATAAAGTATGAGGGGGTATGGTGCTTCCAATTGAGCAGGTTGGTGGTAGAGAAAGGCTGGTAAGATATAACCTGTCCTCCTTGGATGCTTCTGTCTTAAGCCATGTCACTCTGAGAGGGTCCCTGATCTCAGAGTGACATATGGAGGATTTCAGTTGACAACTGAAAGACATATTAACTATGTACATACTGCCACAGTTTATAGGGGTCCCAAACAGGGGGTGGTGGAGTTCAGAGTGCTTACCTAAAATGTCTGATAGCCTGGGTTTCATTTCTTGCATTTTGGTAAAAGGGAGAGGGAGAGGAAGACTGTGGAGGAGGATGGGTGGACATGAAGCAGAGAGAGAGAATATGGATAGGAGAAATGGGGAGGGAGAAGAGAGGAGAGGAAGTTCAGATGGAGAAGGGAAAAGGAGTCAAGGGCAAGTCAGGAGGAAGGAGGCTGTCATCCTTCAGTATAGTGATTAGAAGGGAGCATACGGGAGGCCTCTTGACGGTGGGTTATTTGATCTGTGGAATAGTTAGATAAATATCTTTAGTTTAAACATTTATTAAGATGTATACCTAAGGTAGGTCCATTTATCTGTATTAATAAATATTTTTTTCTGTTGTGATACAATACTATAAATAAAGCAACTTAACAGAGAAAAGAGAAAGGAATTTTTGTTTGTTTTGTTGTTATTGTTTGTTTGCTTACAGTTCAAGGCTATAGCACACTGTGGCAGGGAAATCAAGGCAGATGGAGCATGATGCTGCTGGTAGGTCATATTATATCTGCAGTCAGAAGAGAGAAATGAATGCATCCCACTGCTCAATTTTTTTTCCATTTATACAATCTTGAATCCTTTATCCCTTGTCCAGGGAATGATGCCACCCATAGTGGGTGAGTCCCCCCCCCTCCCCGCCTTCAATTGGCACAAATAAGACAATCATCCAGATGCATACCCGGAAGCTAAATTCAAATCCCAAGTGATTTTAGAGAACTAATACTAACCATCACAATAAACATAGCAAACATTTGGAAACCTGACAAATAGGACACTTTCTAATATTTGACCCTCAAAATCAAGTTGCGTGCACAGCAAAACTCATTTTCCTCAGACAAGATTACTTCACTTATACTTGTTGCAAACCAACAACATATGAATTCATCAACAGAATTCCAGCAACAGAATCAGAGAAGCATTTTACAAAACATACTACTGGTCAATAATTAAAACACACAAATGTATTAAAAAAACAGGAGAATAAATCTAAAAAGACAATAACTCAAAACAAAAAAATGGCTAAAGGATGTGAAGAAGGCACTTCACAGAAGAAGAGTAGGCCAGGAAACCCGTGCAAAGCTGGTGTTTGGGAAATATTCTGGTAAATGGATATACATCACGTTCAGTATAGGATGCTGAGGACATGAAAAGGTGAATGGAGATGGACTGAGGGTCAAGAAACCTCATTTTTTAATCTATGTTTTTATTCGTCAGAAAAAAGAAAATGGAGCAATGACTAAGTGTCAAAACATTGAGATATTGCTAATGGCCTAATTATGTTGCATGCCTGGAATATTGTTGGCGTCAAGTAAATGCTATTTGTTAAATAATTGTGCCCTTCAGTTTCAAAAAGTTTCTTTACTGGTATACGAAACTCCACACACAGAGTCACAAGAATGAATGAGGAAGTCTGAGTGCTGACTTTTGCATATGTCTACCATTGTAACTGAGGTATGGGGAGAAGATGGGGTGCATGCCAGGTAGGGTTATACTTCCATTTTACTTCAGTGCTTTCAGGTTCTGGGTGAGTAGCCAGAAAAAAATGTTATTAAACTTTCAGTTGGTTCTGCAACAGCCCCCAGACCTTAGTAGGCTTCCAGACTTTAGCACAACTGACTCCATGATGGAAATACCATTCAGGCTCTAAAACTCAGCCATCAGATTTCTTCCATCAAACCTTGCTATGGCAGGTATGCTGAGGCACTAAACTGAACAGAGATGGCCACCCAGAAAACTAGACCTGAGGAGTGGGCGTGTCAAGTCAGGACTTGCTGTCGGTGTAGGGCTTAGATCAGAAACAGCTGTCCAATCATAAAGGTGGGCGGGGTCGAGGGGCTGGGACCTATTACAGAGTTTTTAAACTAGTGGCTGCAGTGAGGAGCACCAAACTTGTCTCCTCGCTGCGGACTTACCTGCTGTCCTGACAGGAGTATTGGAGCCATCAGGTAAAAACCAGTGGCCCCGTGGGGCCAGTGCGCTGGCAACTGCTGGCGCGTGCGCTAGGGCTAGCGCTTTCGCGCTTTCAGGTGGACCGGGTTCTGTCTGCGTATCCGAGTTCGCGGAGGCTGTTTCTGGCAAATTCAGGGCGCAGTCTTCGGGTGTTCTCACTCTGGGAGTACCAGGGCGTCTGAGCTGCTCCAAGGAGGTACTGGAGGCTGGGAAGAGAGTTGGGGTGGGTGGGAAACGGCCTTCTAGATTTGGCTTTCGCCCCTCTGTCCCTTAAGCTGGGCACTGGGCAGTTACAAGTTATTTGTAGATGACACAGTTCAGACAGATGCCTCTGCTCCGTCATGCAGTTACAAATCTGTGAACCCCAAGCTTCCCCAGCTTTGAGATGACTGCTGTTCACCTAGTAAAGGAGGGCCTGAGGATAGATACCCTTGACTGAAAGGGTTTGAGAGGTGGAAGCTTCAGAGCTGGGGTGTGGGGTGGGTGGAGGGCTCTCTAGTCTACCCTGGTCACTAGATTGTGTCCTAGCCCTGCTAAGGTAGAACCAGGCCCTGGCTGAAGAGCTCTGCCTTCTTATCTTTGGAAATAGGACTCAGCTGTATTTGGCGTTCCTCATTTTACTAAAGCTTTTGAGTCTTGATCATAAATAGTGCTTTTCTTTTTTCTTTTACACACTCTCTAAGGTTACAAGAAGGTATTATGAGACTTGTAATTACAATGACTAGGTTAATCCCTTCCCTGTCTTATTGCAGGGTTCTAATATACTGACTTTGGACATTCAATAGAAATTAGTACAGCGTTCTGTGCCTCTCTTTTAGTGTGTGATGCTCACCATCATTCCCAAATCCCCTAAAAGTAGCTGACTGGAAAGTGAAGATGCTCATAGTCTCATTTTACCTTTACTGGGATTTTAAAAGTCAGGTTTTTATTTTCCCCTGGGTTTCTAGAGTATCTCAGTTTCTGGAGCATCTTCATCTGCTGTCATTTGCTGCCACCAGAAATGGACTAAAGCTTTGCAATCAGAGTACCCTAAGAAACATGACTTTCTAAGACTGGCTGTTTCCTTGTTGAAAATCACAGTGCAAAGTATTCGTTGATATTTTGAATTTTTATGAACTTTTAATTGTTATTCCTAATCTGATCATAGTTCTAGCAGGTAACGCTTTGTTGTTGTTCTTCTTCAGTCAAGATGGCTGACAAACTTGACATGTCGGAAATTGAAAAATTTGACAGATCAAAACTGAAAAAAACAATTACTGAAGAAAAGAATACACTTCCATCGAAGGAAAGTAAGTCATGGAGGTTTCTAGTGGAGAGGAACAATGGTGAAAGTTAGCATAGTCAGTTAACAAACCTATGCTCTATTAAATTTTCCACAAAGTAAATGATAATAATTAGTGTTCTATTATACTTAACAGTTTAAAATAACCAACAGCTGATTTCGTTATTTGGGATATGTAAGTGTTCCTGCATTAATAGGAACCAGTAGCAATAATAGTAGTAATAGGCACCAGTAGTATAAAGAAAAAAAGTAATTTCTTGTTGAAAATTACAAAATTCACATTAAAATCAATCTTGGAATCTTTGACTAATCACTATGGAAAACCCTATGTGTTCTTTTAATCACGCATCTTCCGATTTGAGCCTGAGATCTTTTCCCGCTAATGAATTCTGCAGATGCTGTTCTTCTGATCTGTTCTGCTTAATAACAAATACAATGGACTAAATTCAGATCTTGAATATACTTGATGCTCCCAGACTCGGGATCATTGTTACTCCTAGAGTTACATCTTACTGGAGAACTTCAAAAAATTTTTCACAAATGCTGTGCTATGCTTTTTGTTACACCAACATTGTTTGCGAGTTCCAAAACTAGATGAAACTGTTTTAAAGTTTCTTTATTGTATTTTGATAGATGTATTGGAAGGAAATGCTTCATTTACCTTTTCTTCTCAAATAATGGCAACTGTATAAATCAAATGGAATGTGAAACCCATAGTTTAAGTAGATATTAAATCTTAATATTAATTTAATATTAAACTTTAATAGGTATTAAAATGGTTGATGTGTACTCTCATATCACTTTGTGAGGCTTTGTGGGTGGTACCTTGGTATTCTGAATTTAAAGCTTTATGATAACCATATAAAGAATCAGCAGAGATTCTTTTTAATGGTACTGGGTTTCAAACCCCAGATCTTAGTTCACGCTAGGCAAGCACTGTACTACTGAGCTCCATCACACAGTCTGGCAACAAGGAACTCTAGGAAGAAACTAAAGATATTAGAAAAGTCTCTCCTAACAATATTTTGATGTTTCTTTTTTCCCTAGCTATTCAGCAGGAGAGAGATGCTATTAAAAGATCATAAAATGAAGACATCCTTTCAAGATCAACTCCAACTTTGCCAGATAGTAATGGTTTTAGGATTGTAGAGATTTTAGGCAGTGACTCATGAAGTCTCACCTCTACTGCCTTGGATGAAAGGTCACCATTTGTCAATGATCATTAAACTTGGTTGTAAACTGCCCACTGATATGCAAATGTGGTTTTTCACTTGCTACAAGACAAGCTGATTTTAACCTAGAGTGAGGCCCTCAAATGCTTCATCATCTTTGTGAAGTTGTACTCACAACTATTTGCAGCTCCTCGAGTTTATCTTCATTTCTAATGTAACAAATATAACCACGAACTTCCTATGGTACGTTCATGAAATTACACAAGGGTACTTTTTCAGTTAAAAATAAATGAAGGGAAACCTCTTGAGCAGATTACACACATGTGAAGTTTAAGGTGGTAATGAGGACTAATGCCCTTATTTGGGAATGAAGAAATGGAACCATAGAACCTAAAATGATCTGTATAGGATGTGAAAAGATAGCCTTGCTTTCTTGAAAGTGTTTTTTTTTTTCCACCTTAATGGAAACACCCAAACCTGGAGTTGGATGGGGAGGTGGCAGGAAACACTTGCTAAAGCACATCATATTAAAGACAACAGGGTGTTCTACTGAATTTACAATGAGATATTTAATATCTGTTGATGACTTGTATTACTTATTCTCTGTTCTGCTCCTTGCATCGAATAGGGTTTTCTCTCTTGTGAACTGAGCATTTTGATCATCAGCGACATAAGTGCTACTGACTTAAATGTGTTCTAGTTCGTATGCGTATATTTTAGCTCCCAATATGCTTATACATGGTGGTAGGATCTTTTAAGGGTAGTTAAAGTTATGTAAGGTTCTAAGAGTGAGGCCTTATAAAAAGAGGGAGTGGGGAAAGAAGGCAGGACACACACACACACATACACACACACACACAGAGACAGAGACAGAGAGAGACAGAGAGACAGAGAGAGAGAGATCTTGGAAGGATGCTGAGTCTAAAGGTGCCTATACAACTGAAATGCACGTGTTCTGCATTCAATCCTGCTGGACCTTGGTCTGTCTGGACTTGCAGCATCTAGACGTGTGAGGCTTTACATTTCAGTTATCTAGACCACCTAGTCTGCAGTGATTTTGTTAGAGCAGCTTGAACTGACTACTATACCTGGGAAAACACGTAAACAACCATGCCTCAATCCTTACCTTTAATACCTTTACTGCTTTAAATGTATAAAGCTAACCACCTAAATATCACTGAGTAGAGATGTCCGCCACTCCGGATAACTGGCCAGCTTGTTATCCTAATTTACATATCATCTTTTTAAAAGGTTACCTATTTGTGACCTAACATGTTATTCTCCTTTATCCTTTCGAGGGGCTTATATCATTAAATAACAATTGTGGTCACAAGAACTAGAAGTGATTTTGTGTGTTATCATAAAAGTCCCCAAGTTTCAGTCAGTCATGAACAGAAGACTATGGCAGAGGTGCTGGGCCTCTTTGATTTTTCCTTGATTCCTTTTATTCTTAGGAATTTTTCCTAATGCGAGCTCTCTGCCGACACAAAATCCCAATCAAGCCAAATCAAAATAAGCCAAATTAAAAAATATCCAGGTTTAATGGGATTCCTGCGCTCTCCGGTGGCCCCAAGGGCCACGAACAAGATCACCAGGTGGAAGGAAAAGAAAAGAGACCAAGGGATTCGCCTTTGGGAGCTATCTTTAATACCCTGTGGGAGTGATCAGGACTTGGCATGCTGGGATTGGGAGTCCAGATAAGAGACCAAGTGATTCTCCTTTGGGAGCTATCTTAAATATCCTGTGGGAGGGGTCAGGATCTGGCATACTGGGAGTTGGAGTCCAGACAAGAGACCAAGTGACTCTCCTTTGGGAGCTATCTTAAATATCCTGCGGGAGTTGTCAAGACCTGGCATGCTGGGATTTGGAGTCCAGACCAATACAACTCTCAGGCCTGGGGGCTGGGGCCTAGTCTCTGGACTTAACAATTCTGTCCCAGCTTTCAGCACATGAGATGCTGCATCCTCATTCATTTTCTTTCCCCTCATTTCACCTTGAAACATTTTCACAGATTCACCAAAAGGATGCTTCTCTGTATCCTAGATGATTTAAATCTAGTCAAGCTGAAAATTAATAGCAATATTACCCTTCATATGCAGTTCCTTCATTTATCTTCCATTAAACAAATATCTGAGAGCTACTCTTCAGTTTCCTACATGATTTGGCTAACAGTGGAAATACAGGGTAATAAGTTGGAATATGTTTCCTAGTTTTTTTTTTTTAATGATGCTATAAGAAATACTCAAAGGGGTGGTGGAGTGAATATGATCAAAGTGCTTCATGTGTATATACATGAATATTATATAGATTAAAACTGTCACAATGAAAGCTATGGTTTTGCCATTTGTGGTGGTTCATGCCTATAATCTCAGTACTTGGGAGGTGGACACAAAAGGAGCAGAAATTAACTCATGACTAGCTAGAGCTACATGAGACCCTCTCTCAGTGAACAACAGCACTACTCTGCACTATCTTGTAGAATCAATATGTAATATTTTAAAAAGCTATACTCAGTTACAACATATAATATTTAGACATGTCTAATGAAAACATCCAAGAATATATACAATAATTTTAAAAGACTTTTTTGTTCTTCTTTTTGAATTTTTAAATTCATTTTACACACCAACCACAGTTACCCCTTCTTCCTCTCCTTCTCACTGCCACCACACCTCCCCCACCCCCCATCCACTCCTCCCAAAGGGTAAGGCTTCCCATGGGGAGTCAACAAAGTCTGGCACATCAAGATGAAGCAGCACCAGGCCTCTCACACCTATATCAAGTCTGAGTAAGGTATCACACCACAGGGAATCGGCTATGCACCAGGGATAGATCCTGGTCCCACTGACAGGGGACCCACAAACAGACCAAGCCACACAATTGCTACCCTCATGCAGAGGGCCTAGTTCAGTTCTAAGCCGGCTCCCCAGCTGTTGATCCAGAGTCCATGAGTTCCCACAAGCTCGGGTCAGCTATCTCTGTGGGTTTCCCTGTCTTGATCTTGTTTCCCCCCATCCTCCTCCAGCTCATTGATCATATTCACCCCTTTAACTCCTCCAAAATCTGCCCTACCTCCTCTTTCCCCCAAATCTGTGCCACGTTATAATTTATTTATTTATATTTGTTTGTTTATTGTTTTTTGGGACAGAGTTTCTCTGTGTAACAGCCCTAGCTCTCCTACCACTAGCTGTTAAAGACCAGGCCTTGAACTCACAGAGATCCGCCTGTCTCTGCCTCCTGAGTGCTGGGATTAAAGGCATGCGCCACCACCTGGCATTTTTTTTTTTCATTAATAGCCTATTGAATCCAATTTGTGCTGCCCATAGTCTCCTGAGAGTAAATGTTATACCCTGGAGTGTGGTTGATCTACCAGTACCCACACCCTTAAGGAAAACAGCCCCGCCCATATCAGAAAGCCACCAACTGTCCACAGCCCTTCAGTTAGGGGTAAGGCCCACGAACTTCTTACCCCTCATACTAGAATATTGACTTTTTTTGATCTTGTGCAGGAAAGCACAGCTACTGTGAGTCAAAACACAGCTCATGTCATGTCCAGAAGATACTTAGTTTATTTTGGTCTTTCCTAACTTCTCATTCTTAACAATCTTTCCACCCCTTCTTCCAATATGGTACCTGAACTTGGGGTAGGGGTGGTTGGAAAAAATACTTTTTATGGTTCCAATCTGAAATATCTCCTTCAGATTTATGTTCTCAATTTTTAAAAAAATTTTTATGATTTATTTATCTTTATGTGCATTGGTGTGAAGGTGTCAGATCCCCTGGAACTGGATTTTCAGACAGTTGTGAGCTGCCATGTGGGTGCTGGGAATTGAACCCTGGTCCTCTGGAAGAGCAGTCAGTGCTCTTAACCGCTGAGCCATTTCTCCAGCTTCTGTTCTTAATTTTTAATGACCCACTGATCGCGAAGTCTTTGAGACAGTCGGACCTGGAAAGCAGAATTATAATGACCCACTGATCGCAAAGTCTTTGAGACAGTCGGACCTGGAAAGCAGAATTAGTTCAATATGGCTGTTTAGATAGGCTAATGTCAGCTTGCTTGCCATGATTCCTGGTAATTCATTTTACACCCCAACCACAGGTCCCCCTTCCTCCCCTCCTTCTCACTCTCCCCCACCCCTCCCCCACCCCCATCCACTCCTCCCAAAGGGTAAGAAATAAAGAGCTACCACTGCACATTGTTGGCAGAATGGACTCCACCAATACCTTCCTTGTCAGGGTGGACTCTAGTCTCTGAAACATGTGCCAAAATAAATCCTTCCTCGTTGTTTTGGTCAGGCATTGTCACAGTGATGAAATAAGTAACTAATTCAGCCATTTATTCAAGCTCATTCTGCACACCCACCCAACTAATACAACACTCATTTCCCTTTAGTCTAGTGGAAATGAATGATAAATGAGGAAAGTTATTATGTAGAGTGATGTGGGTGAATTTTGTTATACAAATATTCTTGAAAGTGAAGATAGAGCACAGCCATCAAAGAGTTTGAAAAAATGAATGGTAGTTTCAACCTAATTATTGTAATAATTTCCCATTATTCTCCTAATATGATGCTAAAGATAGGAGTCACAACTTTGAATTTATATTCTTAATTTGTCACAACTAAACAGAGCAAAAAATAACAAACCCAAACGCCAATCCCTTTCTCATTCTGGGGACAGAACACGCAGGGAGACAATTACTGGTTCAGGCTAAGTCACTCTCCCATAAGTGTGAGCTGTTAGCTGTGGCCTAAGGGCTGATGGTTCTTCTTTAGGTAAGTCAGTGGAGATTGGAACTTTGGCTGCTCTCACTGGATACTTCCATCTGTCCGGTTAGTTTCAGATCACTAAAATTTACAAAATAAAGTTTATTATTCTTAATCCCTAAATCCTCTATGCTCCAAATTCTATTTTCCTGTCATGTCATTATCATTTTTTAAAAGTTAGCACAGGCCGTCGCCGCCTCCATTGTTGTTGTGGTCTCTTCTCCAACGTCCGCGGCTCAGAGAGCCGGCCCTGTCGCCTCCCGCCGCCATGAAGTGGATGTTTAAGGAGGACCACTCTCTGGAACACAGATGCGTGGAATCCGCGAAGATCAGAGCAAAGTACCCCGACCGGGTTCCGGTGATCGTGGAAAAAGTCTCAGGATCTCAGATTGTTGACATTGACAAAAGGAAGTACTTGGTTCCTTCTGACATCACCGTGGCTCAGTTCATGTGGATCATCAGGAAAAGGATTCAGCTTCCTTCTGAGAAGGCGATCTTCCTGTTTGTGGACAAGACGGTCCCACAGTCCAGCCTAACTATGGGACAGCTTTACGAGAAGGAAAAAGATGAAGATGGATTCTTGTATGTGGCCTACAGTGGAGAGAACACTTTTGGCTTCTGAGGGCCAGTGCTGAGGGTCAGCACAGTTCTGAGGAACGGTGCTGGGCTAGGTGCACCGTTCCTGCTTGTGTATCTTGTAAATAACTGGCTGTTTTCAGTTACTCTACCAGAGCCTCTTCACATAGACCTACTAGTGCATTTGTAACTGGATTTATTTCTTAATATATTGGAAAGTTTTGTTTCTTTAGATTAGTAAATTATCATACAGAGTTTTATTTTCAGTTTTCTTTTTGTGCATTGACCTCATGGCTATATGCTTCAAGGAACCTGTCCTCTGGGAATCATATTTAATGAAGATATTTCCATAATGAAGGGAGGTAGGTGTGGCATTAAAGTGAAAAGGAGGGGTAATGCATTGTTCTGGATTATGTTCCAAGTGTTAGGTGGCTAAGTATTAAAAGCCCCCAAATGAAATCCTTAGCAATCCGAATACACTTGCTTCACTAGATTTTGCCAACTGCAAATCATGTTGGATTAAGCTAATCTGTTCTTCTTTCTGAGACTATTAAGGTAAATAATTAACAATAAAACTTCCTCTTATAAAGGCAAAAAAAGTTAGCACGTAAGTATTGGGTTTAATCATGATATTTTCACACACACACGCACAGATACACACACACCCACACACACATGCAGACACAGACATGCACACAGGCACAGACATACATACCCCTCATTAGAGATAGAGGGTCCCTGTGTGGCCAGCACTAGCTAGGGTTTCATTGCCTGGATTGGCCTCAAACTCGTAATTGTCATGCTTTAGTCTTCTGAGTGGAGGAATTACAGACATGTGTCACTTGCTTGGCTTACTTACATATTCTTTACAATTATGTAAAAATATTACTCATTATAAATGCTTGAAGGATAGCCTTTTAATTTGAAAATATTTTCCGTTAACTTGATTGACTTTCTTTAAGAATGTTTCATGGAGAATTAGGTTGGTTTTAGTTTTTCTCCAATAGCTCTTTTTCACCCACACTAACATTAAGAATATCTCTAGCATCTAAATATTGTAAGGAATTAGTTTTAAACTTGGCAGATGTTTAAGCATTCTTAATATTTACAAAAGCACCCTTATTTTTTCTCTGTGTTTCTGCCTTGTGAAGATTTTGATCAGATCTAGAAGTGAAGCAAAAATAAAGGATAGTATTGGTTTAAGCATTGGTGAATCTGTTAGAATCCCTGACTGTTAATGACACGCTATTTAGATTGTTAATGTAAGCATTCCAACTGGTATTCATTTTCCTTAACTTAAGCAGAAGTGTTGAGGGATATGATTACTTGACTTCAGACCTGGCAGCTGTTGGACTTTTTCTTGCTGCCCTGATTGTCTTGAGGAAAAGGACTGTCAAAGAACCAGACAGGCTACCCTTATACCAGTCCATAATGCTATACTGCATGGTATCCTTGAAAAAAAAAAAAACTACACAGTAGGGAGCTAGGGAGGGCGCTCAATGGGAAAAGTGCTTGCTGTGCAAGCCTGAAGACATCCATTTGAAACCCTAGAACCCAAATAAAGCTGGCCATTGTAGCCCACATTTGCAAAAGCTATGCTCCTATATTGAAATGGAAGGTGAAGACAGGAGATCCCAGGAACTTTCTGGCCAGTTAGCCCAGCATACACAGAGGTGAACAACAAAAAAGAGACCCTGGAGCCAGTGAGATGTTTCAGCAGTTAAAAGCACTTCCCATATAAGCCTGATGAATTTACTTTTATCCCTGGAATTCACAATGGAAAAAGTGAACTAACTCTCAAATGTCCCTCCACATGTGCGCCATAGTATTCATGGCCCACAAAAGCCAAATCCCCAAATAACAAATAAGTAAGATTTTTTTAAAAGGAGACTCTGACTTCCACAGGTGTGCTGTGCATGTACACACCTGCACTTAACACACATACAGATAAATCATACATACACACATAACACACACACACACACCTTATGAAATATCTGTAAGGGTTATTTTTTTTTTTTTCAAAAAGCTCAGAGCGTGCCATCCATGAGCTGATGTTGTCCAGAGAGACTCTTTGCTTTCTGTGGTATCTTCAAAACTTCTTTTATTTGATTTTAAGGATTTATTTTATTTATGCGTGTGTGTACGTGTCTGTATGAAGAAACACACTCATATGAATAGGAGGGTACATTCCTGTGTGCACATGCAGAGACCAGGAGAGGGCAATGGATTCCTTGAAGCTAGAGTTACAGACATTTGCAGGATTCCTGGCCAGTTAGGAATCCCAGCTCTGATGCTCGTGATTATGCCACAGTGCTCCTAACAACTGAGCCCTCTAAACTTCCTTCCTTCGTTCAAGGTAACAGGATGGTTCTATGCCTCAAGAGATTCTATCATGACGTCAGCCAGGCTGTTGCTGAGCTGATGGAGCAATTAATCACATTAAGCACCTCCTAGGTAGCTTGTTGCAAGATGACATCCAGTCAGATGTTAACTAGGCTCTTGACATGGGGGAATGCCACAAATAGTGATGGGTCCCATGCTTCAGCAGTCACTGTGATGGGTTCTTCATAGCCACTAGCATTGCCGTGACTGATGGCTGATCCAGTCTTTGACGCATCTTCTGAAGAGGTCCTTATTTCCCAAGAGCCTGAGAAGATTAGCTGGCAAACGTCAACTAGAAGAAAAGGCACTTCTGCTACCACTGCCTTCACTGCTGCCCCAGACAAAGAGTTTTGTTACGTATTTCCCAAAGGTACTAAGGAAAGTTCATGGAGCCTTTCCCAGAAGACTATAAATACCATGGACTTATTTATGAGAACATGCTGTTCTTTTTTGAAATGTCTTTTATTGAAGAAGAACCACATCACTTTCCCCCTTTTTATTCCCTTTAGCTCCTCCCAGCTACTCTGCCTTGAACCTTTCCCGTGCTCCACCCCAGAGCCTCAAGTTGATAGGCTCTTTTTATTATATATATATAATAAAATATATACATATATATATGTATGTATGTGCATGTGTTGAGTCCACTTTTGCTGTTTGTGTGTATATGATCTCAAGGCTGACCACTCTACATTGGACAACTAAGAATGGGACTCGTCCATCATTGGGGGGATGTAATTCTACTTCTCCAACCAGTCATTAGCTGCATGTAGTTCTTTGTCTAGGAGTGTGACCATGCTGAATTTCCCCCTTCCTTGTTAACCTGTCCGTTGATATTGTCATTGTTCAGTTCTTATTTATGTAGTCATTCCTAGGAAAGAATGTTTCACAGCCAACTTCCTTGTATTCTGGTTCTTACAATTTTTCTGCCACCTCTCTCATGATGTCCCCTGAGCTGTGATGCAGATATATTTTTGGGATTGGACTTCCCACAATCTGCTGATCTCTGCATTGTGGTCCAGTGTTTCTATAATGGTCTTCATTGTTGTAAAGAGATGATTCCTTGGTGAGATGTAGTAGCTCTACTTACCTGTGGGTATAAGGATATGATGTAGAATGTATTAAGGGATTATGCTGGTCTAACGAAGTGATGGTAGTAGATTCTTTTCTAAGCTCCACGATGTAAGTAGCCTTGGGAAATTGGCTGGTTTTCCGGGACCAGGCACAATTCCCCTCCTGTTTAGTGGGCTTTACATCCAACGAGAGAGCTGTTGGTTGCCACCAACATGTGAGCATCACTTATTGTACCTGTATGCATATTTACCATGCTAGTGATCGTCATGGTTCCTAGGTGTTACAGCTGAGTAGGACTATTTAATTGCTTCGCTCCCTTGGCAGCATGCATAGTATTTTATGGAATCATGAAAAGGAGACCAAAGGAAAGAAGCTTTCAGGTCAGATCTAACTCAAATCATCCAAGTTTTGTGTCCTAAGTCTGCAGCATATTGTGAAGTACATGTTTTGACCAGGTGTCCAGTCACCATCTTCAGAGACATCTAAACTACTGTGTGTTTCCTGTGGCTAGGAGATATCCACAAATATGCTGTGTCCAAGGGCACAATGCCCCTCATCAGGCATGCCACTAGCCTGTAAGCTATCTCTCCACACCCAACTAGCCAAACCAAAGGCTCCTTTTAGAGGCACCTGGCCAAATAGGACTGTGACACTGGCACAGGTGTACGGTTTGAATTTAGGAGCATGGGTGTGTGTGCGTGGCAGCGGGTGGGGGGGCAGGTGCTGTTTCTTTAAGAATCCCTTACTAAATTAAATGCCATAACTTCTGTCACATACTTCTAGGTCACCCTTTCTAAGGACTGATGATGGAGTATTATTTATTTTTTATAACAACATTTGCATTTTATGCTGACTAGTTTATTGTTAACTTGACACAGCTAGAGTTACCTGAGAGCAGGGAACCTCAATTGAAAACAAATGCCTCCATAAGACAGGGCTGCAATCAAATCTGTAGGGTATTTTCTTAATTAGTGATTGACATGGGAAAGCCTAGCCCATTGTGAGAGGGGCCACCCCTGGCAGGTGGTTCTGACTTCTATAAGAAAGCTGACCCAACAAGCCGTGTGAAGCAAGCCAGTAACCAGCAACTCTCAGTGGTCTCATCAGGTCCTGTCTCCAAGTTCTTGCCCTGTTTGAGTTCCTGTCCTGACTTCCTTCAGTGATGAACAGTGTTATGAAACTGTAAGTCAAATAAACCCTTTCCTCCTCAACGTTTTGGTCATGGCGTTTCATCACAATAGAAACCCTAATAAGACAAGTTGGTACCAGGATAGTAGGGTATTGCTATGTCAGACCTGATTGTGTTTGGGGAGAGAATGGTGGAAGGACTATTCTGTAGGAGTTTGGAAGATAATAATGTTGAACACAGTTGAGACGATGGGGTCCTGGCTTATGAAATTTCAGAGGGAAGCAAAGATTCTCCCAGGACATGTGTATGAAGAATCTATAGTGTTTGGTCAGCCAGAGCAAAAGAAGCTGCTGTGATTAATAAGAGACCAGAAGAATTAAAGTGAAGCCTTTGTTCTACTGGGACAATTGATGCTGGTTAGCTGAAGCTGAGAAATTAGTGGTAATTGCTGCGACTTCTTTTGCTCCGGCTGACCAAACA